ACCTAGGTCGTGTCGTGTGCTTCCGTGGTGCCATTTCAGAAAATAAAAAGAAAATTAAGAGTAAGAGAACTGAGTTACCTGAACGAGTGACGGTTGATGAAGTTCTGAAAATCCTGTGCAGTCGGCTTGTTAGAACAGGCGGTAGGCAGAAAAAGTCCAAAATGTCAGAGCAATTTCAGGGGTCCGAATGTTCTCAAATAGTTCTCAAAGTGTGAAAATGACTCAAGGCAACTCTCCCTTATATAGGCGAAGTGAGAAGGCGAAGGGTCACTTCCAGAATTCAAAATTTGGGCGGAAAAATCTCTCGTCCTTTCGCCGACTGACACCTGTAGCAGGCCGTCGCCCGTTACTGTGCGACACCTGTCACAGGTAACACGTGACCAGTCACGTGCCACCTGTGAGGGGCAAATGATTAGGGGATTTTGCTCCCACCAATCGGAATGCGCCACGTGGACCAATCAGGTCCTGCCAAGTGTCCCCTGGTTGGAACTGTCAGGGCTTGCCACGTGGCACGCGCTTATTCGTCCACCTTGGACCTATTATGTCACGACATGTGGCATACTCCATGCCTAATGGAGAACCCGGCCACCCAGGCCCAACTTCCGAGGGAAGCCCAATCGGCCCTAGGTTTACCTAAACCTAGAATGGGCACGTTTCCCAAGGTTATAAATACCTCCCTTAATCCTCATTAAGGGGGGACACAAGAAGTTTACGAAAAACATTACGGAACAAACACATTAATTACACACAGTAATAACCGGCTGATCTCGCTAACAAAGCAGATTACCTACATTAAACACTCTCACCTAGAGAGACCTTATTACTTTAATTTCCGCATTAATTACTCCTTAATCAGGTACTAACTTGACCGTTGGAGGCGGAGCTCACAGGAGTCTCCGTTATTTTGCAGGTACAGGCGTCCGGTTCCAGTCTCGGAATTGTAACTCTCCCGCAGGACATCAGAAAACCCCGAAACAAACCTCATACAACAATTTCGGGTTCCTTGGTACGCTATTTAGCCCCTATAAGAAAATTGACATGGTTAGTAGTCGGCTTGATTACAATCGCAATAAGTGATCGACCTGATAAAAGATCGTCTCACTTAGCTTAAAGCACTTAAACATTGGCTCATCGCAAGACACCGACATACTGGTCCATAAACAGCAGAGGCACCGACATAATGGTTCACAAGCAGCAAAAGCGCCGATGTACTGGCATAGTGGAAGAAAAGTTCAAGCGATCTTTAAAGATCGACAAGCGCTGGTCTTCGGAATACTATCGCAACAAACATTCAAGTATCAAAGTTTTTTGTTCAGAGACGCGTGGACATTTTTTTCAAGCTCTTTTATTTAGAGACCCATGGAAATTTCTTTCAAGCTCTTTTGTTCAGAGATGCGTGGACATGTATATCAAGCTCTCCTGCTTAGAGACGCGTGGGCATCCTATTAAAGCTCTATTGTTCAGAGACGAGTGGACAATCCTCAAAAAGAAGCTCTATTGTTCAGAGACGTGTGGACACATCATTCAGAAGCTCTTTGTTCAAAGGCATGTGAACATATCTAAAAAAGCTCAATTGTTCAGAGACGAGTGAACAAAAAAAAAGCAAGATGGTGTTCCATAGATTGTAGAGAGTTATCACAACAAATACGGCAATGCAACTGCAACAAATCGGTTACTTCTAGAGACGTGTGCTCGACGGTGCAAGATACGCGTTTTTTTAACTCTCATATCTGTTTAACTAACGCTAGTTTTGCAGGTATCAACATTACAAGAATGATCTAGGATCGCAGAACGTTCTGAATCATTCTCCGTCCCTATCGCTACTTTGACTTTTGTTTTCAAAACTTGCGTTTCTCCAAACTCAGTTAAAGTGGAGGCTTCTTTAGAAACCCAAATGTGTCTCCCCAAAACTAAACCCTGTGATGAGTACCTTTCACATCGAATCATAATCGATTGAAGTGAAAGTGTGGAAAGTCTAGTGTTGAGGATAGTTTTTAATTCTTTTCTTTTTCTCTGTTTTTAAAAACCTATTTTAAGAAAACAGCCAATCCAGTTTGGTTTGGTTTATAGCAAGGGTCCAGTAATAGTGTAGTTGGATGGGGCTTGAAAAGAGCTTTCCAACGATATATTATGAGCCTAATTCCGATGAATAATGAGGAAGTTATGGCCAAATTACTAAACTGAGCCCGGTATGATATTTATATGCGGCCTAATGATCTAGAGGAGGGCCTAATATAGATTTATCATTCTTAATGCAATTAGAATTGATTTTAGTCTTCAAGATTCTTCTAAAAGGTTCTTTTCATTCCTAATTTAATTAGCATTGATAAATTGACTTTAGTTAACTTTTTAGAGTTTTAATCAGAATAAAAGAATACGATTTTGCCCTTCTATACGGCTAAATTTTATCAAAATTAAGAAAACGCGTGAAACTGATTATTAGCACCTGATGACAAGCATTAGCGCCTGGCGCTAGCCTTCAGCGCCTGGCGCTAATGTCCAGCGTCTGGCGCCAATCGTGTTTTATTCTCTTTGAAACTCTGATTCGTTTTTCTATTCGTTCAACTGATTTTATCTATAAATAGCCTCCTAAAACCTCCGTTTTCAATCATCAATAACTATAAATTTTCTTCTTCTCTATAGTTTTCTAATTCTCTCTTCAAGATTCTCTTGATTTCTCTCTCTCTCTTTTCTAAACTAGCTTTTTGCATACAAATTCCGCATTCACAAGATCTAGAAACACCTAGCATTGTTCGAAGTTGCTTTCGCCCTAGGCGTGAAAGGATTTCATTTCTAAGGGTTTGGTCCCAAATTTCTCCTTCAATTATTTAATTTAATTGTTGATTTTATTATTTTCGTTGAAGTTACTAACGCGTGTATTTTGTTATTAGAAAGAGGTACTAGGCATCCAACTAAGTGCTTTAATTGTTTACATTGATATTATGATATAGATATCATGTCTAGGTTATTATTATGTTTCCTAGTATCATGTTAGGGCGTTTTGATCTTCCTAGTATCATGTTTAAGGTAGCAACTATGATTTCTAATATCAAATATGACAATTGTGATTATTATGATGCTTCCTATATTCTTTCCTAATAGCTTGTTAGTATCATGTTAGGGTTAAACCTTTGATTTTTATATTTTTAGTGACATGCTAGGGTTTGTTATTAATCTTGTTAGTATCATGCCTAGAATCTTGCTATTATTATGCTTTAACATGATTATTTTTATAATTGTTATGATTATTATTATGTTGCTTGATATTTATTGTTATTGCTTGATCACGCCTTTTATGCATGTTTAAAGGGAATTTGTACTTGTAATCACGCTTAATAAGATAATTAATAATCTTGTTAGGGTTAATTTGATTATAATTCAAGTGATCGCCAATAATAGATTTATTTGTACATCAATGTTCAACCAACATAGATAAACAGGTTTAGGGTTAACCTATTGATTGCATGTTAGTCCGAAAGCGCACATGAATACGATCAGAATAAAGTAGAGGCCTATTATTAGGGCAAGTTCAATCTCTTTTAGGTTGGATTTGTACCTTCATCCCTGAACTACCAGTCATGGTTCCAAACCTATTGGAGTTGACGATCTCCTGGATCGTTAAGGGGTGTAACCTTCACCTCGTGAACGATTTACAAGTTCCTAAAACTTGTTGGCGACTCTTTCGCTCTATCTTCTTTCCCTTTGGATGCCACCATGCTTAAGTGTATGATCATAGTGGGGTTCAAGCTGGGGATAATGCTTGAAATATTCCCTACCATTACTAGGAGATTAGCCAAGTCCGACCAAAACTACTCGAGTAATTATGAGTTTAAAGGTTTTCTCAATGGAGATGCCTTTTCTAACTCTTACTCAAGTGAGTTTTCCCATACCCCAAGTTAGCTATATATTGGGAAACTCATGAGTGAAATCTCCTCTCCCATAAATGTGGGAGAGTTGGTAAAATTATTATTCTCTTTGTATTTTTAAATCAAAAATAAAAGAAAATAGCCAACAACTAATTAATCAGTAAGTGGCACATTTAGAAGAGGGTTAGGTAAGGACCACAAGGAAGAGGGGACCAAACTTGATCTCAAGGCTTAAGGAAAAACCGGCTCTTTGCACCACTTGCCCCAATTAACTTGCGCCAAGTGGTAGCCCAAGTCGTGGCACTAATTTGCCTTACTGGCACTTGGTGCTTGCGGTTGGGCCTACTACCTTGGCCTAGCATCAGCCGTGCTTGCGCGCCAACCCAACAGGCATGTCTTGCCGCTTGCAGCTAGGTGTGGCGCGCCATGCCGCAACTCTCCCACGCTTGCCCTGCGTGCTAGCACGCATACGGTGCTACCAGTGCCAGCACGCTAGCGCGCTGCTAACTAGCTAGCCCTGCTAGCTTGATGCTACTGTTGCTTGCGCATGCTAGTTATGCTTGCTAGCCATGTGTTAGCAACACTGTTAGAAATGGTGCGCTAGCATGCACCAGCCAGCCTTGGCTTGGCTGGTGCGCATGCTAGGCACCATGGCTATACCAAATGCCCCTAGCACCCAGTTTGCTCGGGGCATTCCGATGCTAGGGGTATTTTGGTAAATTGTTGATTAATAAGTAATTTTACCGTATCATCTTTTATTAATTCGACTCGACTTACAACGCTCGGTTTTAACGCTCCAAGCTTTAATTCCGACGTCTAAATATTAATTACTCGAGCGACTCATTAATTCCTTCCAAATTAATTCGTCATGTCGAATCGTTAGTTGCTTGGGTGTGACCCGAAGAGTTAAGTCAAGATTAAGCTGTATGTTAATTATACATTAATATTATTGATCGGAATTGGCCTCCACCTAGGCATTCCAATCACTTGACCTCACTGAATAATTAGCTTTCTAATAATTCCGAACCCTCTACCGGAATAATACACTTGTTCGAAGGACACCATTCCTATCAATCTCCCACTTGTCCTTCCGGACAAGTGCGCTTTTAGTGTATAGCCTTTTTCTATGTCATTTAGTGTCTCTTAATGAACTATAATACTACTGCATAATTGAGTTTATGTAACACATGATTGGTAACACTTCTTAAAATGCAAAATATTAGATTTATAAGTAACACTTTGGTAACACTTTATTAAATTGTATCACTTAATGTAGCACTTTTAGCATAGGTAAAATTTTAAAGTATCACTTTTAAAATAGGTAGCATTTTATGGTAACACAAATATAAATGTTACCTTATTTTTTGGAAAAACAAAATAAATAAAACATTTAAATAAAAAAAATACAAGTGTTAATCCCAAAACTTATACCAATTCATTAAAATAGCCAATTAGCTGCCAAACTTAATAGAAAATTTGGGCCAAAACCGCCAGATTAATAAAAAAAACAAGAAGAAGAATATTGCAATCTCTCAAAAAAAAAATTTCATCTTCATTCCCAGTTCATCAACAGCGCCCTAGCAACGATAGATAATCAATTAGGTTTAAGCAAAAATCTATAATTCCATCTCCATAATTTCATCATAATCTCGCGTAATTTCATCTGAAGTTTCGTTAGATAATCAGTTCGTCTCGCGCAATTTCATCTGAAATCAAGTCATCTCGAGCAATTTCATCGTGATATTGGGTTTCATTGTATTCGTGCTTCTAATTTCAGGTACTTAATGATTTGTGATGGATGGTTTTCTAATTTCTTGGTTATTTAACCTTTAATTTTGAAAAAATTGAAAAGAATAATCCCACCTTTTAACCCCATTTTCTCAAAATAATCCTTTTTACCCACAACCGTTTCAACAAGTAATTTTTATTTTTTTTCAAATAAATAAAACAAAGGCAAAATAAAATTAAAAAAAAAAAGAAAAAGAAAAAATCCCCTAATACCCTAACGCAGCCCCACACCCACCATTGGCACCACATGTCCCCCCATCGGCGACAGCTTAACCCTAGCCGTCGGCACCCCTGCCCCACTAATACCGGCGAACCCTTCCTTCCCCCTTCTCTTTCTCCGAAAACCATCTTAACCCAGCCTAACCACCTCAATCATTCGAACCCTAGCCTCTTCGAACCACCGCAAACACCACCCGAATTCCACCTCAAACACCACCTCAAAATAATACCACCTCAAAATGATGCAGCGGCATCTGAATTGGTGGTCAGTTTGGGATAGGTGGCTGTAGTTTGGGGCAGCAGTTAATTGTTGTTGTTGTTGTTGTTGTTGTTGGCGAGTTGATGTTGTTGGTGAAGCTAAATTGGTGGGCTGAATTGTGTTGTTGTGTTGCTGGTGTCATGTGGTGGCGAGCAAGGTGGTTGGAGTTGGAGGGTGGTGCGGTTGTGATTGCGGGGCTGTGTGCGGTTGTGATTGCGGGGCATCGAAGTGTGTGGTTGTGTTGCTGGTGTCGTGTGGTTGGAGTTGGAGGGTGGTGCGGTTGTTGCGGGGCTGCTGAAACGAAGATTGGAAATGGAAGTAGGGGCGGCTTGGCGGTGGGAATCGTCTAGTGGGTTTTCCGGTGGAGAGGAGATTGGGGTTGCCGGGTTCTGGTGGCTGGTGGCTGGTGGGGATGTGGTGGCCAGGGAAGAAGGGTGGGTGATGGGTTTCTGATTTTATTTTTTTTATTTTGTTTAATTATTTTTGTTTAATTATTTTTGTTTTTATTTTAAATTATTTAAAATTTAAGACCAATTAAAAGGTGACACGTGTCAAGTCACCTTCTAAAACAGGTTACTAATTTCATAAATCGGTAAAAAGATCATTTTGGGAAGATGGGGTTACAAGGTGGGATTATTTCTGGAATTCGAAAAGGTGAGATTATTTTGAGCAGATGAGCGAAAGGTGGGATTATTCTTTTCAATTTTTCCTTTAATTTTCAATAATGTATGAATGAAAGCGTTTATTTTTCAATTGAATTGTGAATGGTTATTGGCTTTGTGTTTGATATGGTTCTATTTTTTAATTGAATTTTTTTATTTGGGTATTTCAAGTTTGGTTTGTGATTCTGAATTTTAATTGTGTGCTATTGATTTTTTTTTTAGTTCATGCATGTCGTAGAGGACATTGTAGTTTCTATTTCTAAACCTTGTTTGCATTGTGTGAGAAGTTTTAGAATTGTTGTTAGCTGATTTATGTATAGAGTAAAAACCGAATGATCCAAATGAACACTGTTATATTTTTTTAGTCTAATGGCTATTGTACTGTTGAGTATAAGATTAGCCATCACCCCTACATCTTCCTGTTTCACCAAGGTGATTATTGATTAGCTAGATTATATTGTTATTGTCAACATTGAAATGAATAAAGAAAGTGTAAAAACTAATCTAAAAGGCAGAGTATTATGTCTGATAACTTGATACAGTATGTTCTAAAAACAGAGAAAACATCTCAAAATTTGGTTCATATACTTGGTATATATGTAAGCGTGCTACCTGGAGTAAAAAGAAGTTGAGACATGATGAAATTAAACTGGAAAAACATCGCATGTTTTGAATTGATCAGTAAATTAACATAGTATATGATCCATAAACATAATTGCCACCACCATATACCAGAATGAAAAGAAATCTAGGCACCCAACAATTAAAATAAAAAATGAAATCATATCTTATAAAGAAAACTAGAGATAAAAGTAGAGGTTTCATTGTAAAATTAAGCAGATTGATAATTGCAAGAAGAAGAGCAAGCATTGAACTAGAGGATATTGCAATCATAGTATGTGGTAATGTGATAATGGGTGAGAAACTCATTATTTGGATTTGGCGAACTATTATTAAAGTGTTTTATTTTTCTATTTCAAAGAGAATTATCACCATGAGGATAGAAATAACTACTCCTCAAGCAGAACAATACTTTAGAAAGTTGGCATATTCTCCTGGTCCTGTGTTTTGTGGATATCAATAAAGGGGAAGGTGGTTTAAAATGCTCTTTCCCTTTGTCGCTGTTAGGTGGGTGGTTTTTACCATTGAATATCGCTATTAAATTCTTGGAGTTCCCATTCCCCTCTGTTTTATTACCCCTCCCCAATGTGGAACTTGCCCTTTACCTCTTTCTCCTCTACCCATCTTCTCTACTTTTCATCTTCCATTCTCACTCCATAGTCCAAACCCATTCATCCCTGAAACTTTGGTGAAGATCTAACAGATTGTATAAGCCTACCTAGAACTATGAGCAGAAGTGTATACCTCTGCCTTGTGTAATAAAAAAAAAAAAGCTATTTGCACTTTTTAGATAATAGTAACCTAAAGACAGGGATAACGTTTCCTTAATTAAGCTGTTTCTTCTCTGAAGTATAGTAGTCTTCTAATCTAAGCATACATTTGGACCTACTTGTTTGATTTTTATTGTTATCATATATACAAGGTTGAATTTATGGGCGTTTATTTCCATGGATATTCTCATTCCTTTTAGAAATGTTAAAATTATATGCCAATATATATTTTAAATCTTTAAATTCACTATGTTTAAATTTTGATAAAGGAGACGAAATGAGTAGTTGGACCAACTTCTTACAATCTAGTCATGAGTATGAGAAAGGTGTAGAGGATTATTTAGATAAAGCGTTCTCTACACGAGCAATTGGAGATCAAATTACTTGCCCGTGTAAGGCGTGCTATCACCGCTTTTGGCATCGTAAAGAGACAGTGTTCAATCATTTGATTGCAAACGGGATCGAGCCTGGCACCGAAGGATGGCATTGCTATGAAAAGGGCATGTCAACAACATCAAATACTAAAAAGGATGTTGAAGACATGCATGAAGATATTGAACGTCTGATATATGATGTTCATAGAGATGTGGCAGAAAGGTATGAAGGTGTTGGAGATGAGCCCAATGATGAGGCTAAGAAGTTTTATAAGTTAGTTGAAGATGGAAAACAAGAGTTATATCCTGGGTGCAAAAAATTTTCAAAGCTATCATTTCTTATTCGTTTTTACCTTTTGAAGTGTACTCATGGGTTAACTAATATAGCAATTTCAGAGTTTTTAGAGCTTTTTCGAGAAGTGTTACCAGATGCATCCAATTTGCCTAACTCTTTTAATGAGGCAAATAAATTGATAAAAGATCTGGGTCTTCATTATGACAAGATTGATGCATGTCGTAATGATTGTATGCTATATTGGAAGGAGCATGAAGTTGCCACATCTTGCTATGTTTGTCATGCTCCAAGGTGGAAAGAAACACAGACTGAATCCCAAGAAGATATTAGCAATCAACCATCTAAGAAAGTGCATCAAGTCCCTAAAAAGTTCTTTGGCATTTCCCTCTTAAACCAAGGCTTCAAAGGTTGTACATGTGTTCAAAAACAGCAAAGCTAATGAGGTGGCACGATGAAGAAAGAAATAAGGATGAGTTATTTAGGCATCTTGCAGATGGTGAGGCATGGAAAGAGTTTAACCAAAAGTACCCAGATTTTGCTAATGAGGCACGTAATGTTCGTTTAGGCCTCGTAAGTGACGGATTCAATCCATTTCGAACTCTGAGCACACAACATAGTACATGGCTTGTTGTTCTAATAAATTATAACTTACCACCATGGTTGTGCATGAAGCCAGAATTCTTAATGCTATCTCTCCTTATTCCCGGGCCCACCTCTCCTGGAAATGACATTGATGTCTATTTTCAACCATTGGTTCAAGAACTCAAAGATTTGTGGGAGTATGGGTTGGACACCTATGATGCGGAGAAACGTCAAACATTTAAGATGCATGCATCTTTACAATCAACGACCAGCGACTTTCCAGGTTATGCTATGTTATCGGGTTGGAGCACCAAAGGGAAGTTTGCATGCCCTTATTGTCACTACGAGATTGATCATCATCACTTGAGTAATAGTAACAAATCCTGTTATTGGGCTCATCGTCGATGGTTAGATGAAAATCATCCTTGGCGGCATGATATGGTGTCTTTTAATGGGGGAAAAGGAAGAGAGGACAGCTCCAGATCCTTTAACAAGGGATCAAATTTCAAGCTTGTTGGAAAACTGGGAAAACAAGTTTGGAAAGTTACAACCAAAGAAGAAATATGTAGATTGTCCTTGGAGAAAGTCCTCTGTCTTCCACACTTTGCCTTATTGGAAATATTGTGGGTGTCGTCATCATTTGGATGTCATGCACATTGAAAAAAACGTTTGTGATAATGTGCTCGCAACTTTGTTAGACATACCTGGAAAGTCAAAAGATCATCATAAGGCTCGTTTAGATCTGCAAGAAATGGGTATAAGGGGAGAACTACATCCTTTGGATGCAGATGACGACCGATATGTTTTGTTGCCCAATGCTTCATTCTCAATGACGAAGGAAGAGAAAAGCATATTTTGTAGTGTTTTGAAGAAGGCAAAGCTGCCCCAAGGTTGTGCATCAAATATTGCAAGGTGTGTACAAGTCAAGGAGGAGAAAATATCAGGGTACAAGAGTCATGATGCTCATATAATAATGCAACACTTGCTTCCGTCAACAATTAGGAAAACTTTACCAAAGCATGTTGCTTTACCTCTTATGAGATTGAGTGGCTTTTTTAGGGAAATATGCAAGAGAGTCATCAATCCGAAAGATTTGGATCGCTTTCAAGCAGGAATTATTGAGACTCTTTTTGAACTATAAAGAATATTTCCACCTTCTTTTATTGACATAATGATCCACTTACCGATTCATTTGGTTGATGAAATCAAGCGTGGTGGACCGGTGTGTGATTGGTGGATGTACCCTATAGAAAGGTACCTCGAAAAGTTAAAATCATATGTTAAAAACCGATGTCGCCCCGAGGCTTCTATAGAAGAAGGTTATTTGGCTGAAGAGTGCTTGATATTTTGCTCTAGGTATTTGAATTCTAGTGTAAAGAAACGATCTAAGTGGTTTAACAAAAGTCAAGAGAAAACTGATGAAATTGATGAAGAATCATCTTTATTCCCTAAGGCAGGTTATCCTCTTGGGAGGAAAAAGAAAGGGAAGGAGAAAGGGAAGGCATACACTCTTGATTCAGACAAAATGGCTCTAGCACATCGTTATGTGTTGTTTAATTGTGAAGATGACCAAGTTGAGAATTACATCAAGTGAGTAATTTTTTTAATATCTTATCAATTGTGTTTACATTTATATTGTTTTATTACCTTACTTATATGGTTAATAGGGCTGGCAAACAGGTCGGGTCGGGTTCAGGTTGACCTGTTTACATAAACAGGTCAGGACCCCCCAACCTGAACCCGACCTGTTTACTTCAGAAAATTCAACCCGAACCCGACCTGGTTTTAAGCGGGTTGACCTGAACCCGACCCGTCTTAACCTGTTTTTTTATTTTAAAAAATATTGATTAACCTTGTTATTTTTTTTTAACCTGTAATCTTTTTAACTAATCTTGTAATTTTTAAAAATAAAAATACAATTAATTTTCAAAAATTAACCTGAAATATTAAACAACATAAAAAAATGTAAAATGCAAATTCAAAGCCACTTGCTGCATAGTTTATAGTACAATTATATAACACTAAAAAGTTCCAAGAGTTCCAAAATACATATAACAGAAATTCAATATTTTCCAATTAGTAACTTCATCATCTGATTCTTCATAACCAGCAAGTTCAACGGGTAAAGGAGGAAGAGGACAATCAAGTATCAACCATCTATTAATTAAGAATAAATTAGTTAATTAGATAAATAATTAGGCTAACTTTATCAAAATACTAAATGCCAAATGCAGACTTAGCACAAAATCACTTATCTCACTCATAAACTCATAAAAAAACAGTTGTAAAAACAAGTAATCTCACTCATAATCAGATGGTGAAAAAACCGCATGCACAAAACGCACTCATAACAAACGAGCTTAAATCAAAAAAAAGTAAATCGAAGAAATTAAATCGCAAACAAGTAAACACATAAAAACAAACTAATGTTGAGATGAAATTGAAGAACTAAGATAAAATGCATAAAAAAACAGAACAATTAAGTAAAGAGAATTAATTAGCAAGCAAATTACCTTTGACAATGTTGAGATGAAGATTCACAAGCTTTAATAAACAATTTTCATGGAAAAAATATGAAAACAAGAGAGAAGAGAGATGAAAGAGAGAGAGAGGAGAGAGAATGAGTGAAAGAGGGGAATTGGGGAAGCGGCGCGAATAAAGAACAAAGCTTAGGGTTTTTCATTTTTGTGGTTAGATATTTGGGCTTAGCCCATATTTAAAAGTTAGGGTGAAAATAACTAAAATTAGGGCTGGTAAACAGGTTTAGGTGGGTTAGGTTCGGGTTGACCCGACCTGAAACCAACCCAATTAATTAAATGGGTTTAGGCGGGTTGGTTTCGGGTTGGGATTTCCAACCTGCACCCGACCCATTTAACTTCAGGTCGGGTTCAGGTTGACCCAATTACATAAACGGGTTGAAAATCTCTTTCAAAACCCATTTATTTCGGGTTGGGTTCGGGTCGGGTTGTCGGGTTGGGTCAGCTTCTTCCAGCCCTAATGGTTAATACTATGAAGGGAACATGGGGAGTTTGTGAAGAAGAAGTCTAGAGACAAACGAAAAAGAAGGTGGAAAGAGGCGCAAGAGCATAGCAATGAATTCATGGTTTGGTTTAGAGAAAAGGTTGTGGTGGATAATGTCCCGGATCATATTAAGTGGCTATCAAAAGGTCCTTCTACTATTGCAAGGAGGTACACCGGATATTTTTGTAATGGATATAAGTTCTACACTAGAGATCATGATGAAAGGTGTAAAACTCAAAACAGCGGAGTCTCTTTAACCGCTTTGACTCCAAGCTTTGCAAGTAGCAAGGATCACAATCCTGTTCTTGGTAATGTCACATATTATGGGGCTATAAAATCAATAATTGAGGTCGATTATTGGAGTGCATTTAATGTTGTGTTGTTCGAGTGTGATTGGTTCCATGTGGAAGTAGATGATTATGGACTCACTCGCGTTAACTTTAAGAAATTGTGTTCTAAAGATGATCCTTTTGTCTTGGCATCACAAGTGCATCAAGTGTTCTACACTCAAGACGGCCTTGAAGAAGATTGGCATTATGTGCACAGAAATTTGCCAAGAGACTTTTTTTATGCCGAGGGGCAATCTGAACACACATATATGAATGAAGTTCGTGAACCCGCAGAGGATGTAATTCTGGCTACTGATGGAGATGAACACCAAAGTTGGTGCAGAGAAGCTCCTTATGACAGAGTTGAGGTGCCCGTTGACCATGAAAGGAGGGATCATAATCACGAAGAAAGTTCCGATAAAGATGAAACTGATTGGGATTGGATGGAACCATCAAAGTGACATGTTTAGATTTTTTTTTTTATAATAATTATCCTTCGTTTGAACTTATTATTTAGATTTGACAAACTATTATTGAAGTGTTCTATTTTTCTGTTTGAACTTGTTTTCTTATGAAATTTATAAGTTGTTAAATTTAGTGTTGTGCTACAGAATTTACTCTAACCTTTATATAAATTATTAAATTTATTTGAGGTTTGATAATATAGTGACAGTATTTACATTTGGCAGTTTTGAGCTGTGTGGTATCTTGGTGCTAGGGCAGCAGGTTAGTTGTGTGGGCTTCACTAAGGTACGTTCTATTATATACATAATTTAAATGAACTTTAATCTTTGCACTGCATGATTATAAATGATCAGACTTTAGTTATAGGAAGATTAATTTGCGTCACACTTTTTGCAAGATTTATAAAGCTAGCGTGTGAGGTAAATTAATCTTGCTAACAGTCTGAGTCTGAGTATTATCAAGATCAATATATGACTTAGACTATTAGCTAATCAAAGTTTTACTGCAATCTGGTGCTCAGGTGCTTTTTCTGTGCTTAGGTGCTTTTCCTCTGCTCAGGTGATATGCATGCTCTTTCTGTGCTTTTTCTGTGCTCAACTGCTTTTTTCAGGTTATGTTTCTGTGCTATTGTGTATTCATTTTGAGCAAAGAGCTTCATGAATTGTATGTATGCTCTGATTATGATTCTTAATTTTGTAATGACGGACCTTGGTGTCTTAATTAAACTTTGCTGCAGCCAACTTGCACCATCATACTTGGGAATTTTGGTGCCTTTGAGTACACTGAAATCCAGCGCTGAATTCAGAAGTGAAATCCAGAGCTAAATTCAGAACTGAAATCCAGAGCTGAATTCAGAACTGAAATCCAGAGCTGAATTCAGAACTGAAATCCAGAACTGAATTCAAAACTGAAATTCACTGAATTCAGTGCTGAAATCCAGAACTGAATTCAGAACTGAAATCCAGAGCTGAATTCAGAACTGAAATTCAGAGCTGAATTCAGTGCTGAATTTCAGAACTGAAATTCAGAGCTGAATTCAGAACTGAAATCCAGAACTGAATCCAGAACTGAAATTCAGAACTGAATTCAGTGCTGAATTTCAGAACTGAAATTCAGAGCTAATTTTAAATATGTGAATTGATTATGAGCATGAGAATCGAATGATTAGAGTTGTGATTAGTCCCTTACATTTTAATGAACCTGATGCAACTGCTTGTTGTATGAGTCTTGCGTGGGGAGTAATTTGATCTCTTGACTTGTGTTGTATATTTAATTCTGTCATTATAAATGAGAGTTTTTTGATGAAATTGTGATCTGACTTGTGTTGAAATAGTGTTGTATATGCTTATATCTTGGTGCAACAATTTATTGTAGAGGAATTGTGATCTGGCTGGTGTGTTGCCTTTTTTTGGGTGTGGTGTGTGCAGTTTCGGTTGAATTTTTAGCTATTTTGTGATCCTCTTCCTGAACGCCTCAATTCTAACAGGCCTCTCGGAATTAACATTGAACACCTCTTTTAGTAAACTGATATTCTGCATGTATCTATCAAAAGCTACATTTTCTGCTTCAATGTTTCCCTCCTTATATTCTTTTAACTTAGCAGATCTCCTCACAATTTCTAGTGAGAGAATCAAAATTATTTCAGAGACCAAGGTAATGCTTATTAACATTAGTGGACACTAGACAGGTCATATAAATTCTTGCTTAGCAATTTAAGTATAAAACACATGCTCAAAATTGGTGATTTATGGTGTGTCGAAAGCATAGTTTAACAATCTAAGTATAAATTCTAACTGTCATCTTGATGTTTAATTGGGGGAAAGCTTGAATGATCGATCGATTGATTAAGATGATAACGATAACAATAGCTTTAGGCTATTAATCTCTCCAAGCAGCTTGAGGCTACTACACTCCATACAAGTCACTCAATTTTCTGGATACTTACTAATAAATTCTACTACTTTACTTATAGAGTTAAGCTTAGGAAATACATGTGAATATTAACCATTTAATCTAACCTGCATCAAGAAAGGCAGTTTACATTCTTTAGTTGGTTTTTGGATTACTTATCAGACTATCAGGTTAGTATGTAAATAAAACTGAGTTTTAGTGACCAAATGCAAATATGTAAGCCTCTTTCATCAGCTTTAAAGTTTTCATTATAAACTTATAATTGACTAGCAGCAGATTTCTGAAGTTTGTGTCACTTGTGCTGACTGCTGTATTGTTCTGGTGGAGTTTCAAAATAAGATGAATTATGAGTAAAAAAATTGTTCTAAACTATTGTGTGGACAGATATCTGCTGTAGACATTGTACACACTTCTAAACTGACTGCCTTGTGTGTTCTTTGTAGGAAGAAAGATTTAGATGGCAGACTATGAGAAACTTAGACAAAAAACTATAGAACAAAATAGAATCAGGATGAAGGATTTAGGGATTACATCCATGGCTTATGAAATGAAACAGTCGATGAAGGGATCGAAACAAACGAAAAAAAGAAAGAAGGTGACAAAAGATACTGACGAGTATACACCTGATGAAGAGGGTGAACTGAACCACTCAAGTGAAGAGGATGAAAATGAGATAAGGAAAAATGCTGTAAACTTGAGATCTCATTCAAAGAAGGTGGTAAATTTTTTTTTTTGACAACTTAATTTTGTGAGTCATAACAGTTCAAAAATCATGTAATACTTGTTTAATGATTCTCGTGAATATTTAATTTCAGGTTGTGGCATTGAGAGGAAAGATAACCACAAACACTAAGGACACGGCATGTGTCTCTTCAGTACTATTGGCTAATCAAATTAAGATGCATCTTCAAGACACCGAGAGACAACACTCAGATTAAGGATTACAAGGGAGAGATTCAACACAAAGAAAAATCCAATTGGGCAAGTCTACTGCACATAAAAAATCAGGAATCCATAATCAGCAAGAGAAAGAGGTTGGGATTGGGAATGGTATCCAAACTAAGACAGGGTAGAGTAAGACAGTGGTTCCTCTGGTTCACTCAGTGCTTATAGGCAAATGCAAACACAGTTACATGAAAGAGAGAGGAGAGCAAAACAAAGTGATTTATTACTACAACGACAACTACGACCTATTAACATGACTAGTTCACAGCCTGTTAACATGGCTAGTTCAGATTGGCATTTAGGGAATTCACAAGCACAAAGTTTTTCACAACCACAAAGATTTGGACATGACTTACAGGAAGATTATGAGAATCATATGGGTTCAATGAACGCATTTTGGAACAATATGACGATGAAGAAGATGCTTTTAGTGAGGATTTGAGTACTCTTACCCCTGAGGAGCTAGGAATAATGCAAGATGTACCACTAATGAATCAAGAGCAAGAAAGTGAACAAATAGGTAATGATCACTATCATTCCGTTCTAAATATTTTAAGATAGATATGATAAGAGCAATATATGATTTTAATGACTTTGTCGAGTTAATATTCATGTAGCACCTCCAAAAAGTAAGCGAGCTAGAGGACCAACTATGTGTACAGATGTCCATGAATGGACATTAGAGGAGCGTAAGCCTATTGTTCTTAATGAAATGGGAAAGTCTATTGGTCGCGATGATAAGACTGTGAATACATTTACAAGATTCTTAGGGACTTTAGCTCGTAATTCTTCTCTAGCACCGTTGAACAAGATTAGTTGGCATTATGTTCCAGACAAGGAACAAATTTGGAGTTACGTGAAGGTATGCACCTTTTTTTTAAATGGTGTGATTTGATTAGTTTATGTGCTATTATATGTCAAGTGGCTGACGTAATTTATTGCTTCCTAATTTGTTGTTTA